ACTTTATCCAGAAGTTAAAGAGAACATCTTGCCTCATGCTTTATAATGACGACATGAAGTTAATTTCGTAAACTTGAGTCAGGATTAATCAGGGTGTATGACTTGTCAGTCACAAGTTGTTAATGAACTGGCCTGCAGTCTGATTTTACAGTTATGTTATAAAAATAGGACTTCACTACCGGTGACATCATGGCGGCTACTTCGTCCTTTCGTGTGTGACTTATACTGTGGGCCAGCTGCCACTAGCACTGACGGGATATGCACTTATAGCATCAGCTGCAGCAAAGTCAGAAAGCATTGCTCATTTCAGATTTTTCGCTTTGTCGTTTTTCTCTTTTTTTCTTTTTACATCTTTTTCTTTTTCTTTTGCATTTAATATGCTTGTGTATTTGTTTCGCTGGGATCAATTGAAGGGAAGTTTTTAAAAACAAAAGGTTTTATGTTTTTCATTTTGCAACCCTGCACCTTCTTTGTCAGCCCAGAATTTAATGTAAACTTTATTACTAGTGTTGGAGCTATTTATTCTTTATTTTTGCTATTTTCAAATTTGTTAAAGTTTGTTGTTGGTTTACTTATATTTTGGGGTTATATAGAGTTTTTTTTGTAGTTTAATACGTGCTTCAGTTTTTGTTTTGTTTTGTTGTTTATCTTGTTAAGTCAGGAAGAACTGTTGGGCCATTTTCTATAAGTAAAGGGACTGGTATAGGACCAGCATGCACTGGGGTGGGCCTATGTCTTTTTTACCAGAGCAGGAGAAGCACCAAGAAACATCAAAAATTGATCTTTTGTTTAGCCAAACTGGATAAATGAACCGTGCAACGCAACCTTCAAGCTTTGGACATTGGACTTCTTTTTCCTGAGTAAAAAATATTAACACAGCACAGCAGTGTCTTGTTGATTTTAGATTGTTGAATGTTTATTTGGACAATGGAATCGTCATACAACTACACTGAAAAAAAGGCCATGTTGGATTTAGTTGATTCAATAGTGGACATTGGTTGCACACAAATATTTTGCTTTGGCAGAAACATCTTATTCATATTCAATAAACCTGTGCATTTTGTGCTGATAAAACGTGATTGAAACATGTTTAGATGAAGAAAGTTGAGCTCTTGGAATATTTTAATCCTTCACAATTTTGTCATTTTATTTCAACACTATTCAATAGCTTTTACCCCAGTACTACTTGGTCACTTAAATACTACATGTTGTCTTCATATTACATAATGTTCAACAAAGTCTAGAGTCTGGTTACCATAAAAATTGAATGGCTCTACAACAACTACCGTCCTCCTATCTTTATCCTGGTTGCAGGGGGACTGGGGTATAAACCTGAAGTGATAGGGTTACAAGGTAGGGTACACCCTAGACAGCTCACCAGTGTATCACATAGAGACAAACAACCATTTGCACCCACATTCACCGGGATTTTGGAATCACCAATTAACCTAAGCTAACTGACTTTTAACTGTGGGAGGATATCAGAATACCCAGAGAGAAACCACTGCAAATTAGCCAGGTTGTAGATGTGAACCCATGACCTGCTTACTGGGAGGCGACAGCACAAACCGCCATGCCACCAATCCAGGCTTAATGCAGAATTTTCTGTACGTGTTTGTCCTTGACAGGTTGAACCACAATAAAAAGCAATAGCATACACGTGGTGTGTGTCTAGTTGTCTGCCTCTTATAACTCCAGTGATTTTCCTGCAGTTTGAAATCTCGTGTGATCTTGTTAATTTCATGAGTCCAGCAACTAACCACTATTGTATCATGTCATCTCAACAAGAATAAATTAAGTTGTTGATTTCGTACAGATACATGATTTAATTACGTTCAAGATAGAAACATGAA